GACGGCGCGACTCACGGTCAAAGAAACGCATTGCAACGCAAGTTGTTGGTTGCAAGAGATTGTAAAATGACGTGGCTTTTGTTATGTTTCAGTGAATTTGAAACATTACACAGAACCGGAGAACCCAGAGAGAAAACCAGAGAACCCGAGAACCTGCACAGAACCGCAGAACCCAGAGAGAACACTGGCCACAGACATTCATTCTATTGCTGCTAAAGAATTTGAAATATTAAAACAAAGAATTAAACCAATTTTCTGCTCTACCAACACTCGGTATCAAAAGTGGAGAGACTTTAAACCTTCCATAGTTACGAGGCGACTCCTCTGGCGTGACGAGGAGGAGGAGACTTCTTGCGCGAATGACGACGCGACTCACGGTCGAAGAAACGCATTTCAACGCAAGTTGCAAGTTGCATGGATGCAAGAGATTGTAAAATTGTTTGGTTTTTGTTGTTTTATTGAATTTGAAACGTTAAACAGAACCGCAGAACCCAGAGAGAAAACGGGAGAACCCGAGAACCCGCACAGAACCGTAGAACCCAGAGAGAACACCGGCCACAGACATCCATTTGGAGGAATTAAACCAATTTGCTGCTCTACAAACACTCGGTATCAAAAGTGGAGAGACTTTAAACCGTCCATAGTTACGAGGAGGAGGAGGAGGCCGGAGGACTTCTTCAGCCAAGAAGACGACGACGCGACTCACGGTCGAAGAAACGCATTTCAACGCAAGTTGCAAGTTGCATGGATGCAAGAGATTGTAAGAAATGGTGTTGTTTTTGATGTTTGATTAAATCTAAAACATAAAAACAAAGAATTAAACCAATTTTCTGCTCTACCAACACTCGGTATCAAAAGTGGAGAGACTTTAAACCTTCCATAGTTACGAGGAGGACTCCTCTGGCGTGACGAGGAGGAGGAGACTTCTTGCGCGAATGACGACGCGACTCACGGTCGAAGAAACGCATTTCAACGCAAGTTGCAAGTTGCATGGATGCAAGAGATTGTAAGAAATGGTGTTGTTTTTGATGTTTGATTAAATCTAAAACATAAAAACAAAGAATTAAACCAATTTTCTGCTCTACCAACACTCGGTATCAAAAGTGGAGAGACTTTAAA